CAAGAAGACGTCAATTTTTCTGAGAGGCGCTCTTGCTGAGGTGATCCCAAGGCGTGCTGAAAAGCTTCGGATGGTTTCCGCACATGTGAAGTAGACAGGCAGCGTGTAAACTCTGTCCAACCGTCACATGCGTGGCCATCTGCAGACCAGCCACCTCCTTCTCTCTGTCCCCTACCGCCATCTTTTCAAGGACATTTTGATTCCCTTTGGCGATCTCCATGACCCCCATGGCCATGTCCTTGATATCCCTTACATTGTCCCTGAGAAATCTCACAGCCGCCTCATCCAGACTCCCTCCCTGCCCATTGCTCGGCCCGGCTCCGTGCCCCTCTCCGTGCCCATCCTGCTGTCCCTTCCCAGACTCCTCTTCCTGTGCTTTCACGAACCCCCTTTTACCCCCCTTCCCTTGCCGTTTGCCCTGGCCGTACCCCTTGCCAAACCCCTCCGCCTGAAACTGCTCCTCAAACTTTGGTCGTTTGGGTGCAGGTTCCCTATAACTTCGCCTGACTTGGTCCTGCCCCTTCTCCTCTCCTTCCTCCTCCTCCTCCTCCTGGTGCTCCCTCTTCGCCTTCTCGCTTTGGTGGTACTCATACACTGGATCTGTCTGCCCCACTCTGCACAGGCGCACGTGTGCATCGGGTCTCAGATACTTCCGGATCGTCTCGAGAAAGACTACCACCGTGCTTGGTTCAGAAAAGTATAGGGGTTTTGAGCGGCTCCTACTCTGTACCTCTTCCAGAAGCGTGAATACATCGCTAAATGTCGTCACGGTATCAAGCTTAGGAACACCCAGTGCTTTGAGAGCTTCATTCAACGTCTTCACAAGATCTTCAGTGCGAGAAGTCGCCTCTGACGCAGTTGCATACACCAAAGCCCCATTCTGACTGATTCTTGGTATCCAAGGTGGAGGCTCGTGTGTGCTTTCAAAGTAGCGCCCCACCACCTTTTTCTTGTGCTCCCGCTTTTGGAGTCTTAACTGGAGGTCGGCAAGCATGAGGTTGAAAGTATCCTTTACTTTGCCTCCTCCTTCAGGAGCGTTCGCTATGCTCCTTGAAATACTCCTTAGATGCTCGTAGGTGGCCGGATCCAGGTAAAACTGGCCCATGATGTGGGGAGGGTAGGAAACCGCTAGAGAACAGGCTGCTGAGAGTCCTTCGCCGCGTTGCCCTCAAGCTGGTTGAAGAGTGGTGAGGAGTGCCGTCTTTACTTGTTCTTTCCTTTTACAGGCTTCATTTCCTATGTCTCCAAACTAGACATCATTCCAGCTAGCTGGGAGCGCGGTAGCCGCGCGCGTCCCGCGTGGCCGCCAACATGAAGCGCGCTTGCGCGCGGCCCGCCCTGGCCGGCTCATGCACAATCAGTTAGTGCATGGCACATATCTACGCGTGCAGCGCCCATAGCATCTGCTGTAGCAACGTCACGGTACCCGGCCTGCACACCATCCGCAGAGGGATCACCTTGCATTGAAGTCGCGCTGCGGCTTCCTTGTTGGCAAACGAGAGGGCGCGCTGGCGCAGGCTCCATTTTGAAGCATATTCTTTCATTGAGAAAGGATGTGGGCGCACGCGGAGACATGTTCAGGACACATGTGCAGGTAAGCGCAGGTGCGTATCGCAGAGGCGGATAGCTCACACGGGAGCTTGCATCAGCTGTATCACCCTTCTCTCACCTCCCAACCAGGGCTGCAGCAGGTGTAGGAAACTACTGCTGAGGACAAGCCAGGCATAGTCCTTTGTGTGGGCCCAGTATCCTTGCAGCATGGCCAGAAGGAGCCAGTGGCCATGCCAATAGGCGTACATAAGCGATGTGATTTGGAGGTGAGGAGCAATGTAGATTTCTTCTTTCCTCGGTCTCCTGCAGATACATTCCAGCTGCCTTTTTCGGGTGGCATCCGATGACATAGATTCTGAGCAGCTGTTTTTGGCCAGGTCGGGAAAGTACACACTTGTGCTTTAATATTATGGCAACAGCTAAGACTCTGATAATCGGCAGTTGGTATGTTTGGCGCACGACCGCACAGTTCCGACTCGATGTCTCAGATGAGAATCTCGAAAGCTTGCAATCACTATTTTTTGGCTTTTGCACTCTCCCAGGATTATATTGCTGGGTTTTATCCCACGTCTCTGCTATTGATGCTCTGACTGCTCGTGCATGCTAGCAGATAGATCCATTCAGAGTCCCCCTTGTCTGAAGCATCATGGTATGAAAGATAGCCAAACACATTGCTGCATCAATGGTTGCTTCCTGGATTGCGCAGTTGCTTTGCTTGATCCATGAGCAGCCGCTGAAGGACTTTTCACCACCCTTACTGTGCACTGCAATCTGAGACCTTCCGCGAGAATGTCTAGAATGCAGTGTCAACTATCACAGGAACAATCAACTGCCTCTCTGCCTGCAGACTGACTGAACTGAAGAGGAGAGACCCTGGTGACCCTACACCGGGAAACTACAAGATCTATCAAACAGTAAGCATCAAATGCTAGGGCTCTGACTACTTTGCATCATTACAGTTTGGGATCGACTTGGCATTGACTCTTGTGAGGAAGGCGGCAGGGGTTTCTGAGAAGCCAGCCGATATGTCCTGCATTCTACCTCAGAGAGCGGGGACAAGGAGAATCGGTATCGGACGGAAGCCAAGGCTAGGGCCTGTTGGATTTGCGGTTATGTCAAACCAAAATTGGAACTCTCTGGTTCTGAAGCGTCAAATCCTGTAAGAGTGGTAATATCCAACGGCTGAGTCTACATTCGAGTAATCACTCGAATGTAGACAATGTGGTTTCCAAACGCATCCCTAGTTTGCCGTCGGATGCTGTGTAGCTGACATTTGAACGGCCGATGGTTAACAAGAACATGTAGCAACCTAGGCTGACGTCACTGTTCAGGGTTCCAACAGCCCCTAGCCTTAGCTTCTGTCCGGTACCGATTCTCCTTGTCCCCGCTCTCAGAGGTTTAGCGAACAACGCATGCCAATCCATATTTGTTGAGTGTCTCATCCTGGTCATGAGGGCGGCAGGCCATCGGAGTTCCCGGAATGACAAAAACATTCAATTTGTAGCTATGCCCTCTGTAGCCGGAGCCTTCAAAAGCTGCCAACCACAACTCTGGTACCATCTCCGGTGCTCTTGAGAGTATCAGTTCATCAGGATTCCTCATGATCAGACAAAGGGTTGCTTGCTAGGACAGACATAAGCCAAAAAGAAGTGTGTGAATAAGTGTCTGACAGCACAGCCCTGACGCATCGCAGAGGTGTTGTGCTCATAGGAGGCAGTGTGCATTCAGAACTACGCGGAAGGAGTAACTGCCAGTGTGAAAAGCCCCTGATTGGTCTCCGTGGTGCAGTGGCTTGCTGACATCATCCTCCCTCAAGACTGAGCGTGAGAATGGACTAAGGGCGCTTCGACCTGGAGATTTTTATGCAGAATGAAGAGTGTCATGGTGCATCCCGCACTTATGGCTCCCAAAGTGAGTAGTGCTCTGAAAATCTGTTGAGACATGTTCTCACTCTTACGTCGCCCTTTCACTTCCAATTGAGCCATGGTTTTCTTGGAGGCTTCCATGTGAGAAGATTTTACTGCGTAATCTCGGCAAGCGTTATCCTTCCTCTGACATTACGCACTCATAGTGCTGCGACTCGCATGATCAGACAATGGGCTCTGAGATCTGCTTATCTGCTTCTTAGCTTCTGTATCGCGCTTGCGGACGGAAAGCCAGTACTTGGCCCCATAACGATGCCTTCGTAAGTTGAGTCCTGCCTCCATAACTTGTCTACGTTGCATTTGTCATGCAGTTTATCCCAGGGTACAAGCCTTGACGTTAAGTAGAATCAGGCCCTGTCAGCAGTATTGCATTCTTCAGAACTGTCTAGTCGAGTAGGCTTTCGCAATGGATGATCTCCCCGATTAGGCGGTTTTCCTTGCATAGCTATCGGCAGATAATCTCTGTACCGAGAACATCCAATAAATCGAAGCTTTCTGAAGTATTGCCTCGTCAGAATCGGTGATAGTAATCAAGGCTATGGCTGTTGTGATTTGAGCAGTAAAGCCGTGTTTTCTTGTTTCTCATCTGGTTCGAGGACTCCTTGTCTCTTGTGGCTCTTCCGAAAGAAGAAGCGCTGAAAAGGTGGTTGAAACATCAGCCCTTAATAATGGGGTGGATGTAGCGGCGAAAACGGCTGTTGAGATTAATGCTTGGTGCTTTCAGTCTTATGTGCCAATCTTCTTGCTTTAGTTGTCTCGTTCTCACATACGTGAGAGCCTGGACGAGAAGTGAACCCTTTTGAAACTTTCTTCCTTGATAAAGCCCGCTTTTTGCTGGTACTTGCACTGGAAAACCTGCGTTGTGGCGTTCGCTACGTGTGCTATCTACGGCAAGAAGCTGTTTCACCCCTTTACGGGATCATACCATGCTCGAATCTACCTGCAATTGCTACCTTTCTTGTGCTTTCATATATGGCGCTTAGTCTGGCTCTTTGATGGCGATGAAAGTAAGAGACGTTGCCTCCGGCAAGGCAAGCTGTACTTCGTCCCCGAGCCACAGAAATGGAGCTACGTTGACGAGCAACGCACAAATCGTTCACCGTTCGATCCTTGCTGAATTTGTTCTGTGGCGTTCTGTCATTGAGAAAACGACACTGAACCGAGGACATTCTATACCCGGCGCTTTGTCTTGCCAGCATCGATACGAAACATTTGCTTGCAAGGTGCCGTGTATGGAAAAAGTGCAGATTCCTTCTCAACTCGTTCCTCTTTCGTAAGGGATCTGGAAAGAGCGAGCTTCACGGCGCGGCTGTGAAAGAATTAGGTGTGGTGTCTTGCAAAACCCCCCCTTCCCTGCTTCTCTTGGAGCCGTCCATCGCTTGTGTGACAACAGAGCTTTGGCGTACGTTTGTGCTTGGGAAGATATTGTGGCTTCTCTATGTATCTGGCGCGATTCTGCACGCCATCTATGCGATGCGTACGTTCTGCATTGACGAGTGACAACTTGCAAATGGGCTATTTTAAGCCCTGGAATGTGGCACAAAATTGGGAGCATTTATCAAATGCTCTTGGCGGGTCCGTCACTCAAGTTCGACTTGTTGAGGCAGACAGAACTTGAAGTCATCATTCTCCCGAGCACTGCTAAGTGCCCGGCTTCTTGCTGAATACTCTCTCCTGTTGAGAGAAGGTGGTTCAGCTTTTACTTTTTCTTCATTTGACGCGACCTGCATCCGTCAGTCGAAACTGCCCCCTGTGCTTTCGCCTGCCCGTTCTAGTTGGTGCTATGTCCTCACCCCTTCAATTTGGATTTCAACCAGGCTTGCTTGACATTTGCTGTCAGACTGCTTTCTAAGTGTGCCACAAATTTGCAGCGTGGGCCTCTGGGTTGTCTGGAGGAAATGGTTTCTATGCAGGGGTTGTCATGCTCTCCTTTCTTAACCGTAGTCAACATGAACCGCAACTTTCAGGTGAACCTAACGGTGAAAGGATTGTGTTTGGAAGCAGTGGTTTAGACGACCCACTTTTAGCAGGGCTTTTCACCCATAGCTAATGACATTGACAAGGAGCTGAGATCCGAACGGCCAAACCTTATGGTGTAGCTATAGAGCATTCAAAGCTTCATCGTTTGCCCATGCGACTTCCGGTCAAGCTCACGAAAGCGGATTTACCTGCTTGATACAAGAGTTTTTTAATGCGGGGCGGAAGAGTCTGGTCTCCTGTCTTCAGAACGTTACTTCGTCAAAGTTGAAGCTACATGTATAAGAGCGTCAGCCTTGCCACTTGACTCCATCCAGAACATTCTCAAACCGAATCTTGTGACATGTTACAAGCGAGTGGGAAGAATCCTCACTTGGTGCGCTGTACTGTGCCACATGTTCCATGTCGTGGACTGGCAAACCCGCTCTGACCCGCTGCCAGATCGAGTAGCTCTCCTGCACCTGGTTTGGTCGTGCTTGAAGCCAACCTACTCTCAGTCAAGCACACGAAAAGCGGATCTTCCTGCTCACAACAGAGTTACCTATTGCAGCCCAAAAGACTCTTGTCTTCTTCTTGTTTCAAGCACGTTGAGAGAAGGCTTGAAGTACGGTACATACCCTTAGTCCTGCCTTTTGGTTTCAACACGTGAAGT